TTGAAAGTGAAGATACCAAGTGCATGGAATGCTCCTTACCTCAAGAATGATGTCTAAATGCAAGAGATGAATAACTAATCATACCTCAAATGTATATAAAAACGAAAACCTATCATATGCGGAGACAAGGTTAGTGAAGAAATTGCCCCCTTTGTGTCTTAGACACGGGATTCCTAACCTCACAGGTGGGATGCTAAGGGAAACATGTCTTAGGGTTGGTATCTCTCTAAGGCCAATACATGTTTTCCTAAGGGGCATTAGGCCTTCTCAACCATTTATCCTTTTGGAATCAACAGGAGATATTTCCAAAAGCTAATACACAGAATGATATTACATCATCAAGTGTCATATTAACCAATCGAAACAACCTAATGGGAATCGATCTTACTCCTCAAAGCGGGAAGAATTGCTCTTCCAAGCCTGATTCGTAAGGATTCCAGACTAAAGGTCAGGTTCACCTCCGACACGGGCCTAATGCAAAATGAGAGTGAGTGTGTGCAAGGGGCATGACACTCGATAACCTGCACAATGGCAACCACAAAATAGCAACATATATCTCACAGCAAGCAGATAAAGCATATAGAACACTCAATAGATATAGCATCCACAAACAAAACTTACTTACACAGCAGGAAGGGACTCACCTAGTACTCCCATGCCAAATGCAAAAGGTTAGTAACACAAAGCAACCACACTTAGCATGCAACAAGATATAAATAATCGCACAAGAGGGAAGAGACTCACTGAGTACTTCATAGCCAAGTGTAAAAGGTGAGTATATCCACACACAAACAAGTAGGCATATAGGCATGATGCATGATGAATAAGCATGTTATATCAATGATGAATGAGCATGTGAGATGATATGATGCATGAACATGTTAGCAAGGTATGATGCATGTCAAGATGTAGCAAGATAACTACTCAAAGGCAAAACAATCAAAGCAACCACTAAAACTTTGAGCAAACAAATAACAAGCAACACACAACAAGCACATATACAATAAATAACAAAGACCCACAAAGACTCAACAAACACAGAAAAAATCAAAGGTTGAAAATTCCCCAAGGTTAAAGTATTAGCTCGATCCTCGTGAACCCAGAATATGGAAACTAGAGATTCTGGGTTCTTTCCCCAGTGGAGTCGTCAATCTATTGACGACCACTTAAGATTTTTTCAAAATAAATGAAAAAATTAAGTGTGAAAAATATAAAAAAAGAGAGAGTCGCCACTCGTCCAAATTATAAGGTGGGACAAGTCACCTAAAATAGGTCTGCGCAGAGATTGAGGTTCGAGGGTTCGGTTAGGAGTGAGGAAGGGCATATGCGCACCTCACAATCCTCCGTTTAAACACAATTGCATACTTTAAAATTGGGGTTTTAATTCAACTTATTTATTATGTTTATGTTTGGGTCTTAATAAACAAGTTTGAAAAAGAGAAACCAAATTGAAACATTTTTTAATTTTTTTGATAAAAATGGACTAAATCAAAGACATGCACGCACAATAACATAAACAAGAAGTTAAGGGACTAACTTGATTATGTTGTACCTATGATTTTGATGATTACAAAACACATTTGAGTGATTAATTGATTTATTTAAGTGTGTAGTTAAATTGCCAATATACTGCAAAGTAAGCAAAATGAGATTGCATTAAAAAGGGCTCAAAGGGTAAAAATATGCAAAGAGCCGGCTCAAAAAAATTGCAGCCGGCTTTGGGAAGCAAAAGTGCAGAAAGCCGGCTGCAGATTTTGTTGAGCCGGCTCTATAGGCCAGAAATTCAACTGTTGTTTTTGGCGCGTGTGGAAAATGGAAGCAGAGCCGGCTCCAACCTTGCAGCCGACTGTAAGGGTGCATTTAATGCACAACGGTCAAGTTATTTGAAGATTATTTAATGTATTTAAAATCGGAGTTCCAAAGCCGGCTCAATGTTTTGCAGTTGACTCTCGAGAAAAACAGAATGTGCAGGAATCCCGTAAAGCCGGCTGCAGAAATGGTGAGCCGGCTGTGTATAGCCGGCTCTAGGAAGTTAAGCCGGCTCTACTGACAATCCTGCAACTCGACTTTTGCGTCCTGCAAAGCATTTAATGACCCCCAACGGCTAGTAACGGCTATTTTCGAGCAACAGGCTATAAATATGGTTGGTAACAAATCTGAAGAGGTTTAGAGAGCATTGTATATAATATCTTTACCTACCTACATGAGCTTTAACTTGAGTTCTTGATCTTTGAAAGATTTTTGTTTGTAATCCTCTTCTTGTGCTATTAGTGAGTGATCTTGGGAGTATGTTGATTTCTTCAGGAGTGATCTGTAGAGAGGATCTTTGGGGTTTAAGTGTAAAGGGATGAGATTTGAGAGAAACACCTTTATTCTTGTAAAAGGATTGAGTGGCTCCTTTAAGCCATCCTTATTGTTGTTAGTGAAGAGTGTGGAAGAAATCCTTGGTTTCACCAAGGTAGAAGACTAGACTCCAAGTAGTTGGACCGAACCTTTATAAATCATTGAACAAGCTCTTCTTCTCTACTCTTTTTAATTTTAGTTTTGTGATTGCAAAAAAGAGAGAATTTTTGGAACTCCAATTCACCCCTCCTCTTGGAGTACATTGAGTCAACAGATTAAATTCGAAAGATAAAAGATTGATTTGATTAAATTCCAAACATAAAGGATTGATTTGAACAGATTTGAAACCTAGGACTAAATTGCTTAATCATAAAACCCTTGGGTGAAATTGAAATGAGGAAAGATAATTTTTGATTTTTGACCAAGATTAGAGGAAATTAATTGATTAAATGATTAATTTGACACTAATTAAAATTAATTAAAATCAATTAATCATATTTATCAACTTTTAATTAAGATCATTAAATGTATCTAATAATCTCAAATCAAAGTCAATAAATATAATTAATTTATTCTAATTAAAATTAATTAATTTTATTAATCATAATTAAATTAATTAACTTAATTAATTGGTTACATATATATCCCTTTTTATTTTTTTGACCTTTTTATTTTTTTTTATTAGATTGGGTCGGGTTGACCCAACCCAAAAACACAACCCGCTGCTTAAAATAAACAAAAAGACATCAAACACAAAAAAAAAAACAAAACTTGCAATTAGGATTCATCAGTTTCAGTTTCAAAAGGAAGAACACATTCATCATAACAAAAAAATCTCATTCACCAACACAAAAAAAAGCGTTCATCAGATAAAATGAACTAAACAATTCTTCTTGATTTTTTTTTCATTCATTTTCCAAGGAAACACATACAAACTTAAACACAGTTCTAAACAAAATCAACAAAAAATAACAGAAACACCCACGGCGGAATTTTTAGGAAGAGGTAGATCCCAATCGGAAAGGAGGGATCCCACCCACGGGACCAGGCTCCGTTCGTCTCCTTCACTATCCTTCCCAAAAATCCCTCTGTTCAGAAGATTACCTAAAGCAAGCAAGAAATAGACACAGAAAAATAAGCCTCTTTTCAATCACCGTCGACCTCCAAAAAATGTTCTCCTTTGTCAACACCACACCACCTTCAAAAACAAGCCAAAAACCCAGGAAAGTGTTAAATCTCCGGCTGCTTTCTTCTGTAAAAAAACAAAATCCTGCTCGAAATTTCCCTCTATTTCTCTCAAAACTGCCGGCCCAACTCTCCAACAAAAAACCCCCCCAAGAACGCCAGATCTATTCCTTTCAATTTTTCAGTTTCTCTTTTCCCTCTCAAAACCAGATCTCCATTTTTTTTTTTTGAACTTCTCCCTCTCTCTCTATCACCCCCTTCTCCCTTCTACTGCTCTCAAAAATTTAGACGAGACTCTCCAACAAACAGGACCCAATATCGACCAAAGACAGACCCCTCCTCCAAAATTCTCCAGAATTTTTTTAAAAAAAAACCTCAAAAACAAAAACCACTTTCTCTCCAAAACTAGATCTGCAGAATGCCCGGAGAAAGAAAGCCGAAGTACAGCGGAAGGAAAGAGG